TCGCCTGGCGCGTCCCGTGGGACGTTCCGCGGTGCGTCCTCCTGGCATGTTCCCCTGTCAATTAGCTCTGGGGCAGCTAATATGTGCTGAGGTAGCTTGAGCTCAAGATCCAGATCAGCTCGATCAGGACTCGGATGCAAAAGAGAACTCGATCCACAACGCTGTAGAGCACAATCGCGGCATGGTACATCGCAATTCAGCACGGCGCTGCACAGCACAGCCCTCGGCACGGTACATCAAGATCGATACATTCAGCATTGCCCACCCTGGCACGTCCCTGGCGCGTCCCGTGGCGAGTCCCCCTGCACTCCCGTCGCGCGGCGCGTCCCCTGGCACGTCCGCGTGGCAAGTCCATTGGCACGTTCCGTAGCGCGGTTTCCTCTTGGCACGTCCCGCGGTGCGTCTTGCGTGGCACTTCCCTTGGACACGGTGCGCCTGGGCGCGTCCATTGGGACTTCCGCGGCGCGTCCTTCCTTGCAGGTCCTGTCGATTAGCTCTGGGGCAGCTACTATGTGCTGAGGCAGCTCGAGCTTAAGATCCAGATCAGTTCGGTCAGGACTCGGATGCAAAGGAGGACTCGATCCACAACGCTATATAGAGCACAATCGCGGCATGGCACATCGCAGTTCAGCACGGCGCTACACAGCACAGCCCTCGGCACGGTACAGCAAGATCGATACACTCAGCATTGCGTTTGCCCGTCGACCGATCAGGTGTCTTTGAAAGGTTGCCATGCCTTACACGTCTATATTCCTTTCCGGGTTCGTGGGTCGATCATGTTCCCAGAAAGGGCTCCGCCCTGAAGGGTTCTCTTTTACTAGGTAATTCCACCCGGTGCCAACTTTGTAGGGCCGGTGGATTTCCGCTTGATGAAAAACAAGGTAAAGTCCAATTCGGCGAGAAACAAATGTGTTCGCGCGTGCACGCTCGAGTAAAGTCGACACTCCACCTCGGATCCTCGATAGATAACTGGATCCGCGGACACCCGTTTTCCTTGATAAAAAAACAAAGTAAAGTCAAATTCGGCGCGGGAAGTGCGTTTCGTGCGTGCCCGCTCTAGAAAAGTCGACCCCCCATCTCGGATCCTCGATAAATAACGGGGTCCGCGGACCCTTGTTTCCCTAGATAGAAAAAACAAAATAAAGTCCAACGCGGCGCGGAAAACATGAAAATGTTGAGTTTTTGCGTGCCCCCGAGGATGGTGCGCCCCCCGCGCCACAAAATCGAGGATGTCTCGAGCGAAACGCTTGTTTTGCAAAACTTGAGGGACCTGGGCGCCCCAGCATGCCCCAGGAGGCCCTGGGAGCGCGGACGCGGCGTAATCTACAAGGGATCGTGGCTTTTGGAGCGCGGACCACGCGTAATTTGCGAGGGATCGTGGCCCTCGGAGCGCGGGCGCAGCGTAATTTACAAGGCATCGGGGCCTTGGGAGCTCGGACGCAATGCAATTTACAAGGATCGGAGCCCTTGGAGCGCGGGCGCAGCGTAAAATACAAGGGATCGGGGCCCTGGGGGCTCGGACGCAGCGTGATTTACGAGGCATCGTGGCCCTGGGAGCACGGACGCAGCGTAATTTACAAGGGGTTGGGGCCCTGGGAGCGCGACCCCAATGTAATTTACGAGGGATCGCGGCAGTGGGAGAGCGGACCTTGCGTAATTTGCAAAGGATCGTGGCCTTGTGAGCGCGGACGCAGCGTAAATTACTTAGGATCGTGGCCCTTGGAGTGCGCGCGCAGCGTAATTTACGAGGGGTCGGGGCCCTGGGAGCGCGACCCCAGTGTAATCTACGAGGGATCGGGGCCCTTGGAGCGCGGGCGCAGTGTGAATTGTTAAGGTTCATGGCCCTAGGAATGCAGACGCAGCGTAATTTATGAGGGGTCGTGGCAGCTGGAGCGGGGGCGCAGCGTGATTTTAGATCTCGTCTCGGTTGGTACTGCTTCGGTTCGTCCTGTCTCAGTTCATCGTGTCTCGGTGTGCCGCGTTTCGGTCCGTCCTTGCTCGGTGCGTTCCGTCTTTCTTTGGATTCGCTCCCTCTCGGTTCGTCCCGTTTCACAACTGAGTCGGAACTTGAGCTCGGTAGCAGGGCACAAGCGGCGCAGGGTTGGCACGTCTATTTCGTGGGGTGGTTCGTGGGATGTTTCGTGGAGTGTTTCGTGGGGTGTTTCGTGGGGTGTTTTGAACGGTAATTTGTGGGGTGTTTCGTGGCTGCTCGTTGGGTGTTTCGTCAAGTGTTTCCCAGCGTGCTTCGTTGAGTGTTTCTTGGGGTGTGTCGCGGGGTGCTTCGTAGGGCGTTTCGTGGGCTGTTTCGCGTTTCGTTTCGTCCAGCATTTCGCAGCACGGCACAGCGCAGCGCAGCTTCCGGCACGGTGCCATTACCATCGATATATGTATCATGGCTACTGCCCATCGCCCAATCCAGGTGTCTCGAAACGTTTCCATGCTTCCCATGTCTATATCCTTTTCCGGGCTCGTGGGTCCAGCATGTTTCATCAAAGTGGAATTCCTACTCGGGGGTCCTACACATCCCCTGACATCTGGCCTGGCCTGACCCCGGTCCCCCGACACAATTCTGTCCCGATCGGGTGTCCTTTAGTCAAACGCCAACCCGCCCCGGCAATCCTGGCCCCGATCACTTGACACAATTCTGTCCCGATCTGGGGTCCTCTTCAATAAACCACAACCCAGTGCCTGGCCTGGCCCCGGCTCCCTGACAATGCTATCCCGATCTGGTGTCCTTGTAAATAAACAACACATCCGCGGGCCGGCCTGGCCCCGGCTCCCGCGAGACAATTCTGTCCCGATTTGGTGTTCTCTTAGTCAAGCAACAGCCTTCTGCCCGACCTGGCCCCGGCTCCCTGACACAATCTTGTTTCGATATGATATACGCTTATAAGTAACACCCCCCCGGTCCCCGGTCCCCTGACACTCGCTTCTGCCCTGGCTTTGGGCTAGGTCGGGCAAGGGCATAGGGGGCTGACGGCGGAGCGGGGGGGGAACCGCGTGCGCTCGGCGTTTCCCCGAAGAGAGCGCGCGCCGACCGCGGCCCCCGAAAGTCCAGTCCGACGCGGCGGCGTGCGCCCGGCCTGCCGCAGCCGAGCTCAAGCCCGGCGTCGGCGGCGTCCTCGCCTGGCGCTTGCCTGCGATCGCGGAGGCGCCAGCCGGCGGCCTCATCGAGCTCGAGGAAGCGTGCTACCTGATCGAGAACCTGCTCTTCCTCTGTGGCTGGGTCCAGGATATCGAATGCCTGGCCACCTTCCACGAGCGGCTCTGGGGCCGCGTCCGGCGTTCAAAGCAGCAGCCCATGCCAGGCTACCGCCCCATGTCGCTCACGGAGGTGCAGCATGCGCTCTGCCTCTTTCAGGGCCAGTGGGCGAAAGCAAGCCTGAGCGCTGACAAGCTCGACAACGCCATCTTCCGCTCCCTGCCGGCGGACGCGGACGAGCTGGACGGCCGACTCGCGCTAGCGCCGCGCCAGGTTAGCCAGTCCGGCTCTCCCCCTGGAGGAGCCGGCGAAAACTCGTTCAAGCGCCGCCGCCTCAGCCGCCAGGAGCGCCGGGCGTGCGCCGGCGCCGCCGCAGACCACGCGCAGGCACAGCCGCAGCACTACCAGTCGTCAGCCGCCGGGCAGGCGCCCTCCAAGGGCAAGGGCAAGGGCAAGGGCAAGAATGCGCCAGCCGCAGGGAACAGCAACGGCCGGGCCACCAAGGGCGAGATGTGCTGGTACATCAGCAACGGAGAGGCGTGCAAGCACGGGGATTCCTGCTGGTTCCGCCACGCCTGACTAGGGACCGCAAGCGATGCGGCGCAGACTCGGGCCGCCGCACCGCAGAGCGACGCCGCGCTCAGCCCAGTCACCCGGGCCCCATGGCCCAGCCATCCGCCCGGCCCCGCAGGCGAGGCGGCGGAAACCCATGCCGCTGGCGCGCTAAGCGGCCCTCCGCCATGGGTGCCCACGTGGGTTTCGGGTGCCCCTAATACCATCCTGCCGCGGCGCCATCCTGGCGGCCGACCACGCTCTTCGCCTTCCCCGCGCGCTCTGCCAGACCGCAGCCGGCAGCGCAGCCGCGTCCAGCGCTCCAAGCAGCAGCCCGGCCCAAGCGGTCGAGGCGCCTGCAGCCCGCAGCAACCGATGCGCGACGCTGACGCGGTGCCTGGCCGGGACCAGTGCCAGGCGCGCGCGAGCCCCCGCGACGGCGCAGCGGGCTCGCCCCCGCCGCCGCCGCCGCCGCCCCCTGCGCGCGACAGCGCCCCGGGCGCCCTGGCCAACTGCGCCAAAGCCTCGGCGCGGCCGGCTCTCGCGGGCAGCGGCATCACCATGCAGCGCGCCTCCAGGACCCGGCGGCCGAACAGCAGTTCGAGAGTGTCGACCCGCACCACTTGCCGCCCTACGCGCCTCCCGCGCCAAGTCAGCTCCGCCCTGGCCCAGCGCGCCGGGACACCACCCCGTGGTGCCGAGACGCAAGCGACGCGCCGGCGCAGCCCCAAGACGCGCTAGGCAAGACCGCGATCGACGCAGCTGCAGCGGGGCATCACCCCAGCCCAGCACGTTGACCAGGCGTGGGACAGCGCATCCGGCCAGCCATCATGGGCGGAGCCTCCCGCCGCGCCCCTCCCAGCGCCTCTTCGCAGCGCCCTGCTGTGGGCGCGCGACTGCCCCGACTGCGAGCGGTGGGTCGTGGGCCAAATTAATTATTGGAAACGCGTCCATGCGTCCCCGACCGACGCCGCTCGTGCGTGGCGTGGCGTGCCGGCTTGGAGCCGCGCGTGCGAGACGCACTCCCGCCGGGATACAACGGCCCGCTACACCGAGAGCTACTCCTAGCCTCGGGCCACGAGGACACCGAAGTCATCGCCGACATCATGGCGGGCTTCCGGATGAGAGGCGCCCTACCCGACACGCAGCTCTCTGAAATTACGAGCGGCGCCGACCTCCCTGATGCCACCGCGCTGGGTCGGGCACAACAGCAAGCGCTCGAGACAGCAAGGGCGCCACGCTGCAGGACATGCTACAGAACGCCAATCGCGAGCCAGACATGGCCGAGGTCCTGCGTGTGACGAAGGAAGAGTGCAAAGCAGGCAAGCTAGACGGGCCATGGGAGGTGTGGGCCGGCGCTCACGGGCACGTGCACTCCACCGTGCCTTTTGACCAGTGGCTGCCGACGCGCCGCTTCCCCCGCGTCCAAGGCCGCACCGCCGCGTCGTGCAAGGTGCGCCCCATCGATGACGCGACGGCGAGCGGCCTCAACCTCGCCGTGTCTACCCAGGAGCGCATGCGCATGGCCGGACTGGCCACTCTCCTAGACTACGTCTCGTTCATCGCCGAGCACTTCCGCGATTGGGGAGAGGGCGGCGCGCCGCTGGTTGCAAAAGGCAACCGCGCGCAGGCGTGCCCGCAGTGGCCGGTCCACGCGGACGACATCCCCTTGCTTGTCTGCTTCGTGTGGGGTGACAGCGTCGGGCGCGCGGGAGGTTCCCAGGCCTGCGCGCATAAGGCCCTGCCCTTCGGTGCCTTCGGGGCCGTGTGGGGCTACGCCCTGGTGGCGGCGAGCGTGAACCATCCGCTCCGCCAGATCTTCAGCGTGCCACGGAACGCATACGTGGATAAGTTCCACCGAGCATCGCCTGCGAGGAGGGTCTCCCTACACGAATGGGTGTTCCAGGAGCTGCGCGCCATGCTGGGCATCCCGCTGAAGGAGGGCAAGAACCAAGGCCCAGCGGCCGTCCTGAACCTTGTAGGGCTCGTTCTCTCCACCGCGCAGTGGGCGGGCTTGCGCCTCGCCGCCAAACGCCGGGCCGACATTGCCGCGGACGTGGAGTCCGCGTTGCGCGCGCGACGCCTCAGCAAACGCGACGCAGCCCGGCTCGGCGGGCAGCTGGGCTTCGCCACCGCGGCGATGTTCGGGCGCGTCGGGCGTGCATGCACCTCGCCCGTGTCGGCGCGCATTGGCGGATGATTCGGCCGACTCGCCAACGCACTGACGTGGTGGAGGGCGCTACTACGGCGCCCGCTCTACCACCGGCGCGTCCACGGCACCGAACGCCCCGTCGTCATCGGCTGGGTCGACGGCTCCTGGGACATGGAGGCGGGCTCCGGGGCTGTCGGGGGCGCGCTACTGCCCCCCAGGCATGGAGGGCGAAGCTTCTCTGCCCACGTCCCGCCACACTTGTGCGCTGAGCTGCTCCAGGTTGGGAAGAAGCAGCGCAGCGCCCAGTCGGAGCTCCTCGCCGTTCTGGTCCTGCTGCTCTCGTGCCCCGAAGAAGTACGAGGGGCGCGGCTTGTCCTGTTCGAGGACAACACCCCGGCACTGGAGAACATGCTCAGCGGCGCCGCCAGCGATGACGACAGCAGAGAAATCGTCGGCGCGATCTGGCTCTTGCTGGGCGTCCTGGGCACAGGTCTGGATCGAGTGGGTCGCCTCAGAGAGCAACCCCGCGGGCAGCCTCTCCAGACCGGACGAACACGCCAAGCGGGCCGAGGCCAGAGCCTTCTCCCAGCGCCACCACCTCCAGGCGGCGGAGCCCCGTTTCCCCGCGTCCTTCAGCATGGGCGCCGACGCGTGGGCGACGGCCGTCGTCGCCGCACAAGAGGACTGGGCGCGCAACGACTGGCGCCACCAGGCCCTCACTGCGCTGCGCCTCGGAGCAGTCGATGCCGGCACACTCGCCGCGCTGCTCGCGGCCATCTCCTTCGACTCGGACGACAAGCAGATCGCCCTTGGGTGGATCCGCGCCAGACGGGCGGGCGCCATCGTTGGGGCCGCCCACTTCCACGGGGGGTTACTGCGGCTGCTCTGCCTCGCTGCCGGGCCGCGCGCCAGCTGCCAGGGCGCCGCGACAGCCGTCCTGCGCAAGGCGGCGTGGCCCCGCGCCCCGCAGGGTTGCCGCCGGTGCACGGCGATGGCCTGCGTGCGCAAGTCCCAGGACTCAGGGGTGCCTGCTGTGCGCTGGTGGCCGCGCGCGCCCGAGCCAGGCGCGGCCCCGCTGGACAAGCGCGACGTCGTCGTCGGGCACTACGACGTTCTCATCGACGGCGCAAAGGAGCGCCGCCAGGCTGCTCCGCTCCGGCGGCTGGGGCTGCACGGCGCCAGCGCCGCGGCCCGCCCTCGCTCGCCTGCCGCGCGGCGCTGAGGGCCCAGCCGGCGGCGCTCTCGGGCTGCGCCGCGGAGGGGCTGCGTGGGCGCGCGGCGGAGGTCTTAAAAGCTACCCTTCCCCTCCCTCGAGCGCGCCGCCCAGGCCCGGCCCCCCCCGGAGGGTCCCTGCTCGTGCCCCGGGCCCTCGCAGACGAGACGGCGCGGAAATTCTCCCGGGTGACGGTGGGCTGGGTGCGCGAGCGCTTTCGGTGGAGGCGACGCGAGGAGTCCCCGGAAGAGTCGACCGCCAGTGGGCCAGTGCGCCCCGCGGCGCCCTGGGCCCCGCGTTCGGTGAGTGGGACAGCGGAATCGCAAACCTATCCATAAAACCAACCCGTTGGTGGTCCATTGCGCCCCCCGGCTTCCCCTTGCAGCGGGCCTCCTGCTTCCGGCCCCCCCCCCCCCCCTCCCCCTCCTGGGCTTCTGGGCCGTGGTCCGCGGAAATCACCGCCAGGGGCAGGGGCCAGGGCGGGGGGCGCAGCCCTTCGGGACACATAGAACAACGAAGATCCAAGCGCTTGCCCATGGGCGCACGGCGGCCCCTCCCCTCGCGACCGTGGGCTAGCTGCACCAACCAGGGCTTGCCGCAGGTGGCGAGGTTCGGGCGCGGCCTGGGTCGGCGCAGCGTTGCTGCGGCAGGCGTTGGTGTCCCCCCCCCGTCCTGGCTTCGGGCGCCGTGAGCCTTCGCTTGCGGTCTGGCGCGGGAGCTCCCGGGGGAACTGGACGAGAGGGGAGGGGGCGCTGCGCGTGTCAAAAAAAAAGAAGCCCCGACGTCGAGGCCAGTGCGCCCGCGGCTTCCTCCCGCCGCCCCCCCCCCGCCTTGCGGGCCCGCGCGGGGCGCAGCAACTGTCGCGTATGACGCGCTCAGCAAGCGATATATCTGAGGGGGTAGTAAGCATGCCGGAGACGCAGCCCGTCGGAGGCCATCGCAAAAACAGCGAGCGCTAGGGGCCCGGCAAGCGACGCTCCCCCGCAAGCCTTCGCCGGTGGGCTGTCGTTCCAGGTGGGCGGCAAGGTCGGGAGAGCCCGTCGGCGGAGACTGGGGCCTAAGCCGCACCAGACCAGGCCAGCAACCGGTGTAGGGAAACGCGTCTGTCGGGACCCCATAGAAAAGCCGGTGGCGGGCCAATGCGCCCCGTTTACAATTACTCAATCTGAATACTGCTCTCCCTCTTCCCTTGGTGACGTCTTGGGAACTCTTCGGCCCCCCCCCCCCCCCCCCCCCCCACCCCCCCCCCCCCCCCCCCCCCCCCCCCCCCCCCCCCCCCCCCCCCCCCCCCCCCCCCACCCCCCCCACCCCCCCCCCCCCCCCCCCCCCCCCCCCCCCCCCCCCCCCCCCCCCCCACCCCCCCCCCCCCCCCCCCCCCCCCCCCCCCCCCCCCCCCCCCCCCCCCCCCCCCCGGCCCCCCCCCCCCCCCCCCCCCCCCCCCCCCCCCCCCCCCCCCCCCCCCCCCCCCCCCCCCCCCCCCCCGCGTAGTGTTTTTACTTATCAGCGAAGGCGGATAGGTTTCTAGTAGGGTCAAAAGAGAGCATCATGACGCTCCAGGGGGGTTTGGGCGGAATCCGGGGAAATGCCGGGGATTTTTTTAAAACAAATAGTTACACACTTCGTGGTCTTCGAGGTCCCAGAACTCCATTCCCGGGCCACATTTTGAATGCCTGGAGCCAACTGTAAGCCACTTCGTGCTCTTCGAGTTCCCAGAACTCCATTCCCGGGTCGCATTTTGAATGCCCAGAGCCAACTGTAGGCCATTTCGTGCTCTTCGAGTTCCCAGAACTCCATTGCCGGGCCGCATATTGAATGCCCGGAGCCAACTGTAGGCCACGTCGTGGCCTTCGAGTTCCCAGAATTCCATTCCTGGGCATGATTTTGAATGCCCGGAGCCAACTGTAGGCCACTTCGTGTTTTTCGAGTTCCCAGAACTCCATTCCCGGGCCACGTTTTGAGTGCTGAGGCAGGCTGATGCTGAGGTTGAGGCAGGCTAAGGCTGAGGCTGAGGCTGAGGCTGAGGCCGAAGGCAGACTGAGGCTGAGGCTGAAGCAGGCTGAGGTTGAGGCTGAGGCAGGCTGAGGCTGAGGCTGAGGCAGGCTGATGCTGAGGCAGGCTGAGGCTGAGGCTGAGGCTGATGCAGGCTGAGGCTGAGGCAGGGTGAGGCTGAGGCCGAGGCTGAAGGCAGACTGAGGCTGAGGCTGAAGCAGGCTGAGGCTGAGGCTGAGGCAGGCTGAGGCTGAGGCAGGCTGAGGCTGAGGCTGAGGCAGGCTAGGGCTGAGGCAGGCTGAGGCTGAGGCAGGCTGAGGCTGAGGCTGAGGCTGATGCAGGCTGAGGCTGAGGCAGGCTGAGGCTGAGGCCGAGGCTGAAGGCAGACTGAGGCTGAGGCTACAGCAGGCTGAGGCTGAAGCTGAGGCAGGCTGAGGCTGAGGCTGAGGCAGGCTGATGCTGAGGCAGGCTGAGGCTGAGGCTGAGGCTGATGCAGGCTGTGGCTGAGGCAGGCTGAGGCTGAGGCCGAGGCTGAAGGCAGATTGAGGCTGAGGCTGAAGCAGGCTGAGGCTGAGGCAGAGGCAGGCTGAGGCTGAGGCTGAGTCTGAGGCTGATGCACGAACGGGGTCCCCCCTTAGGGCCCGACTCCCCGCACCCATGCCGATAGCGCTGCCTCAAACCGCGAGGCGCGGGTCAGCCCCCCTCAACCAGCCTCGAGCTCATCCTCGCCCCTAAGGTTGACAAGCCCAGCGGCGACGACAGTCTCATGGATGCGCCCTCAGAAACCGAGGGACACCTTGGTATCGGCACCGAGATGAGGGGATGCGACTCACTACTGGGGCTGAAGATATTTTCCAGGCTCGTGATTCCGCGAAGGATGGGGGCGTGCTGTCCGCTCGTCGCCTGCTTCCTCGGAGCCGCCCTGGCTCGCCGCCGCGAGGCATGGGGGGAGGGACTTCCGCCGCTCTTTGGGGGCCTGGCCCTCGGGCTGACCCGGGGCCGCCCCTCGGCGACTACAACAGGGCACGGTTGCGCCGGGGTGCGGCTTGCAATCGGCACCGCTGGGGCCTGGGAGGCACCGGCGCTGTCCTCGTCGAGCCTCGCATGGGGCGCGGGAGAGCTCCATCGAGGTCTCCGCGCGCCCCCTGGGGTGCCCCCCAGGATGTCCCCCAGGGTGCCGCTTGCAAACCACACCCCTTGCAAAGCACACCTTTTGGAGTCGCCGATGCGGTGACTCCAAAGGGTGCGGTGACTCGGCTGCGAAGCCCGAACCCTGCCCTCGCGGATCAGCGTGTCAGGCAGCTCGAGTGGCGGGGGGGGTGTGCGTTGGAGTTCGCCGACCGCGTGGCGGAATCGCCTGCCCACCCCCGCCTCCCATCGATTCGGGAGGATCGAGCGTTGGTGTGGGTAGGGTGAAGTCGGGCACGTCCCTCTACAGGAGGAATCATGAAAGATAGTACAACATTACCCTAGTGCGACCCTACCTAGAAGTTGGAGCCCCTAGGAAAGCAGCATTAGTTGCTATGCTATGCTATGCTATGCTATGCCATGCCATGCTATGCTGCGCTATGCTATGCTATGCTATGCTAATCTATGCTATGCTATGCTATGCTGCGTTATGCTATGTTATGCTATTATGTGCTATGCTATGCTATGCTAAACTATGCTATGGCATGCTGCGCTGTGCTATGCTAAGCTATGCTATGCTATGCTAAGCTGCGCAATGCTATGCTATGCTATGCTATGCTATGCTATGCTATGCTATGCTGCGCTATGCCATGCTACGCTATGCTATGTTTGGCAATGTTATGCTATGCTATGCTGCGCTGTGCTATGCTGTGCTGTGTTGTGCTGCGCTATGCTATGCTATGCTATGCTATGCTGCGCTATGCTATGCTATGCTGGGCTATGCTATGATATGCTGTGCTGCGCTATGCTATGCTACGCTGTGCTATGCTATGCTGTGCTCTGCTATGCTAAAGCTCAGCGAAGCTAAGATGAAGGTCAGTTACGCTAAGATAAACCTGAGCTAAGATGAAGCGAAGCTAAGCTAAGATGAAATAAGCTAAGCTAAGACGAGATAAGCAACGCTAAGCTATGGGGGCGTAACTGGGGGAACCGCGGGGCGGACACCGGGGGAACCGCCCGGGACGAGCCCCTCTGCCCGGCCCCTGTCAGCTTAGACGGTAAGAACCCTTCTAGGCACAGCCTAGGTAGGGAATAACATGGGAACGGTTCTTTGACTATTTTTACTCCTTTTTGAATATTTTTTCTTTTCCCCCCAAATCCGCTTGCAGGAGGACACCCTTTGCAAAGCACACCTTTTGGAGTCGCCTGCCCACCCCCGCCTCCCATCGATTCGGGAGGATCGAGCGTTGGTGTGGGTAGGGGCACGTCCCTCTACAGGAGGAATCATAAAAGATAGTACAACATAGCATGGGCACGATTCTCTGACTATTTTGAATCCTTTTTGAATGTCTTCTCCCCCAAATCCGCCTGTGGGAGGACATGCCCGACCTAAGGTCAGGGTTCGGACGTCGCCGCCCGTCCGCCGCCCTCTGGGCATGGGCCCTCGGGCCGACTAGGAGGCCACCCAGCGGTGTGCGATGACCGCGCCGCGTGGAGGAGGAGGAGGAGGAGGAGCAGGCGGACGAGGATGAGCGAGGACGGAGGAGCGAGGAGGAGGGGAGGAGGAGGAGGAGGACGGAGGAGGAGGACGAGGAGGAGGAGGAGGAGGAGGAGGAGGAACGCGGAGGAGGAGAGGAGGGAGGAGGGAGGAGGAGGAGGGAGGAGGGAGGACGGGACAGGAGGAGGAGGGAGGAGGAGGGAGGTAGGGAGGAGGAGGAGCGAGGAGGAGCGAGGAGGCGAGAGAGGAGGAGCGAGGGAGGAGGAGGCGGAGGTATGGAGGAGGAGGAGGAGGAGGAGGAGGAGGAGGAGGAGGAGGAAAAGAGGAGGATGAGGAGGAGCAGGAGGAGGGAGAGGCGAAGGAGGAGGAGA